GCAGAGCAGAGTTGTGTATAGTGAGAAAGGCTTCATGAAGGAAGCAGTTTTCCAAAGAGGTGAAAGAAGGCATCCCAAATATAAGCAAAGGTGTTTAAGGATCAGAATCAGGGAATGACAACCACTAGACACACACACACACACACACACACACACACACACACACACACAGCTAAATGATAATAGTAAAGATATAGAGGAAGAATAAAAGATGATTTTTAAGACATAAGGGGCAAGGGCAAGTGTATTTAAAAGAAAGTAACTACATATAAAACAACAGCTACAATAAATAGTTACATGCTGAACCAAAGGGGGTGTGTGTGTGTGTGTTTGTGTGTGTGTGTGTGTCTGCGTGTGTGGGCTTGTGTATGTGTGCTTGTGTGATACTGGTATTAGTATGATATGGATTTTATTCAAAACTTTTAGAGTTCATAAAACTGAACTCAAATTAGTGAGGACAGATATTTATATTTCATGGTTTAAAAATCCTAGTTTCCTAGGACATTAAAAACAAATTTGTAGAAACATAAATGTATGTTGACTATGCACAGTCATTATAATGTAAATCATTGGTTGCTACTGACTCTGCTGTGTCCTTTGACTTTGCTCTTTTTGCCTAAGGCATCTTTGTAGTTGCCAGGTGTGATGTAGATGGTTGGGTTGGATCTCATATCTTTTTGCCAAATTTAACCCTCCTGAATAGTGCTTTCAAACCCATCTGTCTTTGTTCTGCAGTTCAAAAAATGTTGGACTTTTTATTTTTGTCTTGGCTCATTTGGAAAAGATTGCCTGAATGAAGGTCTAAATTCTTTCTTTCCCCAAGGAGAGATATTTTGTTATGCAGGGTTTTTTTCTTTAGGCACAGCCATTATTATCATTATTATTATTATTAGAATTTTAAATATTTATTATTTTTTAAATAATTTTTAATATTTATTATTATTATTATTTTTTTAGTTTTCGGCGGATACAACATCTTGTTTGTACATGATGCTGAGAATCGAACCCGGGCCGCACGCATGCCAGGGGAGCGCGCTACTGCTTGAGCCACATCCCCAGCCCTTATTATTATTATTATTATTATTATTAATTTTTATTTGTACTTTGTTAGGGATTGACCCCAGAGCATTGGGATGCTAGGCAAGCTGTCTGCCACTGAGCTATATCCCCAGCCATCTCAGTCTTTTTTAACAAAAGAGATGACAAGGATAGAGAGAAGTGAGTTAGGGGCATTTGAAGAACTGAATAGTAAATAGAGTAGGATTTGTATTATGTATGTATGTATTACGAACCCAGGACCTTGTGCATGCTGGACAAGTGCTCTACCACTGAGCTATATCCCAGCACCCCTGCTTGCTTGCTTATTTATCTATCTATCTATCTATCTATCTATCTATCTATCTATTTATTTATTGTAATGCCAAGGATTGAACCTGGGGTGCTTAACCACTAACCTATACCCCTAGTCCTTTTTTATTTTTATTTTTTTTTTTAACTTTTTTTGTGCCGGGTTTCTGTTCTCTCGACTAAAAGGCTCAGGGGTCACTCTAGTTAAACTGGGCTAACTGGG